CAGCTTCATTGATTCCTACAGAAATCAACCCACTCTGCCCCGTTTAGTTAACAAAACTGTCACTCACAGTATCATGGGGAAGGAGCAGGGATCAATGACAATCTTGAAGGAGTACGAAACTGAGAAGTTACTGCTTTGAGCCTGGCAGTAGGATTGTCTCTAAAGGATCACAGCAATGTCCGGAAGAGCTGGAATACCGGTCATAAGTGCCTAATGAAAAGATAGTAGGTGTTCTCCACTCCAAAAGGGCAATCTGAGACCAGGAATGGGCTACGGCAAAGCCAGTTGAAACCTGAGTCCAATACATTTGTGGGAGAAGGCGACAGCTGACTGCTGCATGTTAGTTCTGGGAACAGAAGTGACTCGATGCTTATCTCACCCCGAGGCTTGATACTGGGAACAATGAACAGGCGCTGGTAAAATGGAAGGCAGGGGTGAGCCAGTGGCAGACGCACAAAGGACCCTTGACTGCTCTTGCTGGAGTAATTTTGTTGCTATGCAGTAATGCTTTCCTGTCTCCTTTTGTTGACTCCTAGGTCTGATAACACTGGAAGAACTTCATCAGCAAGTGCTGAAGGGAAGGGGGAAGTTTGCTCAGGATGTCAGCCAGTGAGTGTCTGTATGTTACAGGAAAGGGGAATCAAGTAGCATTTGGGGAAGAAAAAGGGGTGACTGATCTCAGCAGCGCTTGAAGGTGCTGCTGTTAATTGGACTCCAAATTTGACTTCTAGCAATGGAGCCACTTACGCGTGATCCGCAATTAATGACTTAACCATTTCAGAAAGCAGCAGCGTGCTTTCTCTGGGAGCCCAAAGGCATAAAGGACCGTTGTCTTGAGCTGGAGACAATTAGTTCCCTGCGAATCCAGCTCTCTTACTGCCACAGTCTGCTGAAGCTGCTGTGGTCTCCTGAGCTGGAAGGAAGGGACCGATACGTGTCATTACAGAAGCAGATTTTAGGACACAGCTCAGCACGATCACTCATTGGGGCTGAATCTTAAAGTCTAGCACTTGCAGCTCAGGTGCTACGAGTGTGTCTCTAATGCTAGCCTGCACTTCTGAAGGGGGGCAGAGATATGCAAACTAATTCTAAATTGCTTTATAAAATTTTTTCCAGCTGTTGATTACCTGAAACTGCAGCAAGCTCCAAGGAGCTATTATTGCTCATAGCTTCTGCACGTCAAGTCTTCCTCATTTACAGAACGTAGCGTGCAGTTTGAGAGAGGCTCTCGCTCTAAAGCCTTGCATTGACCTCTGCTTCTCAGGGATGATCTCCTCCGTGCAATCAAGAAACTGAAGGTCTTGGGAAACGGCTTTGGGATTATCCCTGTTGGTGGAACATACCTGATCCAGTCTGTACCAGCTGAACTGAACATGGATCACACTGTCGTCTTGCAGCTGGCAGAGGTATTGAGCCAGGAGATTTTAAAATACAACCACCTTGAAAGAACCTTATTGCTTCCATGACAGGGAACTGTGATTAGAGCAGGCCTGCAGGCAAAACTGTCCACCCTCTCCTAAACTATGGACTTAAGTCTTGACTACAAGCACACGGTATTTTTCCTCTCATTTCAGAAAAAGGGCTATGTAACAGTCAGTGAGATCAGGTCCGGTCTGAAGTGGGAGACGGAACGCGCAAAGCAAGTGCTGGTACGTATGAAGGTCTCTTGTGCGCCGCGGAGTTCAGTGACAGCGTAGCGTGCCTGCTGCCGCAGCCCCGCAGCAGACGCTTTGCTGGGGGGGGCGTTACCACAGCATGCACAGGGGATCCTAAGCTAGCTGGTGGGCCAAAGGCAGAGTACCCGCTGCGCAAACATAGACTGAGGAAAGCAGAGTCTCAGAAGCTGCAGATGTTCCTGCGGCTTCACTAATCTCCATTAAACCTTGAATCTTGTTAGCTCAGGTCCTACACAAACATGCGTGGTGGGCATGGCTGGATGTCTGAAATGTATTTCTCCTGGTTGAGTTGAGTAAAAATTACTGTAGCCCAAGTTCTACACCCTCCCTTACCGTAGAATAAACGTGGGGTCAGGCCTCTGTTGTGAATGGCTTCTCAGCCATTTAGTGAAGTTTCACTCACGGTTTCCGCTCTGTTTGTATAGGAACACTTGCTGAAGGAAGGAATGGCCTGGCTGGATACGCAGGCAGCAGGAGAACCTCAGTACTGGCTGCCTGCTCTCTTTACAGAGCTGTACTCTCAGGAAATCACTCCAGAGGAAGCCAAGGAGGCAATACCTTGACTGCTACGCGTCCTGTGCCTGTTTATAATTCTCCTTGTGAGGTTATTTGCATATCACCCGAAACACAGGGACGGTGGACCTGAAATAAAAGTTTTGTAAAAAGTGTCTAGCTTGAAAAGCTTGATAGGACTAATTCATACTTACCTCTGAATTTTCTCCTTTGTTGTGGGTGGAAATGCCACTTACCATTACAGACAACCCATTACCTTGTCACAGCAAGAGGAAGATTATCTAAGCTGCTATTGCAACTGCAGTCTCGGAGGATGCAAATGTGACTCCGGCTAAAGAATCTTGGAGCCAACAGTGACACTGAGAAACTGTTCTGTAGTCCTCTCTGCTCTGTGAGTGAGTCGTCGTTCCACTAAGGAGTACCACAGTCTAGATTCTGCCAAAACAAACTTTATTGCACAAAAAAAAAAAATCTTATGTACAATAGTATATAAACAAGGTATCTTAGAGTGACTCTTGTGCATATATTTTCAACTCAATTAGGTCTAAAAATCTGTTGCTAAAACGTCTGCCTAGAGCAGTCATTTGAGGATTGTCACTTTGAAATTGAAACATTCAGAAATGGTAGGACAGACAACATTAGAGCTATAAAACTAATACTTCTCTTTCACAGCCACATGCTAGTTATGTGAATAGTGTCCACAATAAGGCATTTTCTTGTTTCGTTGTATCGGTGGATGGTAACGCCACATGCATCACAAACAGATTTCAGAACCAGCTCTGCCTTGGGAAGGCAGCAGAGTCACAGCTCTACCCACAATGCTACCGAATGGTGAAAAACAACGTGACATTTACAATGGGATTGAAGAGGCGGTAAAGTAGCACACAGCTCATGACTTCTCGGGAGACCCCTCTGCCTCCCCGAGACCTCATTTCGAGGTGAACACCGCTTTATTTACTCTCATCTGGTGTAGGTGTTGAGTGAGTCCTATGTAAGTTCAGCTTTCCCTCGAGGGAAGAGAGGGTTTAAGTCTAAATCAAGCCAATGACAGACCCAGGGGACTTTGCTTGCTAAAGGGAAAAAAAGGTTCCCAAGCTGTTAAATGGCACCTTAACGATTCAGAAATGTTTCCACCTTTCAGCTTTTCAGAGCTGCTTAAGCAGCAGTGTGCAGGCTTCTGAGTTCTGCAAGAGTTGATATAAATCAGAGAGACTGAAAATAATTCAGTGACGCATGGGGCATTGCCTTTCTGTACAGCGCACGGCAGGGGTCTTTTGGCCCCTTTATTCTGCCTTTTTTTTTTTTTTTTTTTGTGAGAACAAAGATGACTGCGTTGGAAGTTCTCCCACCACCCCCAGGAGTCTGAAACGGGGCCGAGCTGGTGGGAAGGTGTTTAAGGAAACTGGGAGAGGGCCCAGGACAATGTGCAACTTTTTGCTTAGCTTTCTATCAAAGCTCCCATTAAAAAAAAAAAAAAGAAAAGAAAACAAAAGTAGATTAAGCTCTTTATCAACAAAACATTATACTACCCCAATCAATCACCACCAGGCTCATTTACCTGGAGAAACCGGGTATTTCACCTCCACCCAAGTTACACTGAATACATCTTGGACGCAATGGCACTCGCAGCCAGCAGACACCTCTCCAAGAGGCCGGCCTTCGCTCACAGTAAAAAGCTGTTGTTTAAAACGTTCAAAGCACTGAAGTGTTAAACTTCATGACACTCGGCTAGCTTGCGCTCCGCCAAGTTTGGCAAAGGAATTTGTCAGTAACAAGGCGTACACCTCTGAAGAACTCCACCCAGAAACAGTGGCTTCCTTAGCTAGAATTGCCCCTTATTCTAGCGCTTCAACCTGATGGATCAAGGTAGCAGCGGGGAGTGCGGTGGCAGGAGGAATAAGGGAGGAAAATGAAATATTACACGGAGTAGAGAGGTGGAAAGCAAAGAGTACTTCAGTTAAGGAAACAAAACAGCTCCATTCAGAGCAGCCAGTATAAAATACTTCTAGAATGCTAAATTCAAATCAACACCTTAAAAAAAATAATACACAAACTAGACTTATTTTTAAGTGCTCCCCCCATCTCTGACCAATGATTTTCTCGCCCTCCCTTCCCCAAAACGCCAGGGTGAACACACCTGCACTCGATTTATGGATTCTTGCAGTTTCCACTTTTCATCCGCCCCTTTGCGCCTGAAGTCTCAGTGGACGAAGTCACCCAGGGCTTGAGTAAAGCTTTCAGAAAGGAGCCCAGATTCCACCACTGCTCTTTATCTTTGGTCTGTCTAGAACAGTGTCTAGAAGAAAGACATCAGGTAGATGGGCTCCACAGAGCAGAGAGGCTCCATCTCTCCCAACCCGCTCAAAAAGGTTTCGCCTGGGCACACGGTGCGTGGGCCCTGTCATACCCTGGACTCATCAAAGCGCTCCCACAGCTACAGCTCCACATTCAGCATGGCCCCAGAGAAGGGCTCACTGTCTAGGAACAGAAAAGCTGTAAAGAGGATTCGCAGTCTAGATCTCATTCTTTAATCAAATGGAGGGGAAAAAAAAAAAAAAAAAAAACCAACCAGTGTAGGGGTTTCCAAAAAA